ATCTGAGACACTTGTGGAGTTGACGTGACATCTCACTTTCGTTAAAGAGCGGGGTTTACAATGCACTTGTTCGCGCGATACTTGTGTTTGCATGTGAATCCTGGTCAATCTGTGTGGATGACATGCGTAGGCTTTCGGTCTACGACAACGGCTGTCCGCGCAGAACCGTCTGTGTATGGTGGCAACACAGGGTCCGCAATGATGATATCAGACAACGCATCTTTGGCAAAGCGAATCTTCCGCTCAATGAGCTTGTTCTACTGCGCCAGTCGAGATGGCTGGGTCACGTCCTGCGCATGAGTGACGAGTGATTGCCATGCTGCGCCCTATTTGTGCATGTGGGGTTGCATTGGAAGAACCCGCTTGAGGGTCAGCAGACCACGTGGCGACGACGCAATAAATCGGCGACATCTTGTCTATCAAATGCGGGTCCGGTACGAGTCCCCATATAAGGGCCGGTAGATGAAGCATGCCGAGGGATTGCAACACTCGAAACAATGGCACAAAACCGGTCGTGGTGGAAACAATGCACGCAATTCTGCGTGAACTTACGATTTCAAAGGTACTAACTCCTTAAAATGAACAAAGGAAATTAAAAATTAAAAATGGCATGTGAAAACAATGGTTCTTTTTGATCCCTCAGTACTTTTGACATTGTACATATTCATTTTCCCAGGTGCATTTCCATGGCTTTGAATGACTCCATGTCTATTTTAAAGAGCGATGTTAATATAAATAAAAATATAAACATTTAAACTTTCAATCATAAATGAATTGTCGAATGCCTTACAAATGTGCTTGAAACAGGTCCCATCTTTGGCCACTGCTTTAACAAATTGTTTCATCAGCCCCAACTTTATATGAAGTTGTTGGCGAATAATGTTTTACCTTTCAATCAAAAGCTGTTTAAAAATATTCCTTGCGACTAAATTCATGTTTTCCCTCGAAGGGCAGTGCACTTTCTTCCAATGATGTTGCTAAATCTTACCGTCTAATAAACATACGCATATTCGTCAAACGTTACTAGCAGAAGGCATGTCTTCAAGTGGCAAATCAAACTGCCAACCTACATACTGGGTCTCTACACAGTCACTGGAACTTATGGACGCTCTCCGACGTATTCCGGATGGAAGCGAATACAATGACGCTCGCAAAAATCTCAGGGCAAAACTGTGTGCTAGTCTGAAGAAAGACCGCGAAGCCTAGTGGTTTAATCGTGCATCGGAAATGGAAACAGCCGCTATCGTTGGTAATCATCGTAAGTTATTCAGTCTGATACGGGAAATAGACAGCTGAGACCTGGTGTTAGCGAGACAATACACGACGAGAGTGGACAGCCAAACCACAGCTTGTCAAAACACTTAGAGCGTTGGAACAAACACTTTGCAAGGCAGTGTAACCAATCTGTTATGGTTTTCTCCTTCGGGCAATGAGTGCCCTCCTCTATGGGCCGTCCTCTTAGACGTGCCCTCACGCGCAGAAATGGAACGTGAGATCAGACTGTTGAAATTGCATAAGGTCGCTGGCCCAGATAAAATTACCCCAGCTCACTACAAATTCGGCTGGCTTGCTGAACAACCTTTTCGTGGTGCCAGGTGGGCGGTTCGGGATTTTCCCGTTCCAGCAAATGGTTCGGCGGCAGTGTTCCAGGAAGTGGTGGGTTTTCGCCTAGAAGAGTTCTCCCTATAAAAAGCCACATACGTCCGTTTAACCACACTGTGACGTAGCGGACGTGATTCGCCACTAAATAAAGTCACTGCCCCTTGCTTCATCCTGAGGAAACCTTGAATCCCAGCAAGTTTATGCCGCAAGTCTGGGGAACATTTGGCCCCTGTTTGACAAAGGAACAAACGAAAGGCGTACGAACTGAGCAATCAGTCGCCGGCTCCTAATGGGCCCGATTCGCTGAATTCACTCCGCTGCCTTGGGAGCAGGCTATTCAGCCAAAGGCTGAGGTGGTGTCCCCTAAGTCAACACCCTACTTCGGCTTGGGCAACCAGGTAGTATCTCGCCCTCTGACGAAACCATGGACTTTGATGTGTTCTGTTGTTTTCTTTTACTATTTCTGTACCTTCGTTTGAGTCCCAGGGTTTCTGATAGACAGTTGCAAATATATATACATATATATACGGGGACCTGCTCTTGTGGATGATTTACAAGAGTTGCTAGTGAAACCTTGGCAGCAAAAGATTGTCCCAATTTTCAAGGGAGACTACCGTTCGGGATGCGGCAACCATAGAGGGATCAGTCTAATCTCAATTGCCTCTAAATTGCTTGCCTCAGTTGCTCTCCACAGACACTGGCGCTCGTGCAGGCCAGATCCGCGAAGAGCAAGCCGGGTTTCGTCGAAATCAAGGCTGCATCGACCACATCTTCACCTTGCGCCAATTGTTGGAGCACCGCCATGTTTGTTGGCGACCCACCGTTGTCGTGTTTCTTGACAAAAATGGTGCCTTCGATTCGGTGGACCGATGTGCCCCTGGGACTGTCTGCTGAGAAAGGTGTGCCCGATAAATATGTAAATATTGTCAAAGCGCTGTGCGCGCATAGTTTTGGCAGAGTAAGAGTTTATGGCAAACTGTCGCCGCCCTTCAATATCTCCGGCGGTATGAGACAAGGTTGCCCGCTGTCACCTTTCCTCTTTAATTTCGCTATTGATGAAGTAATGGAAACAGCGTTCGCTGGACACGACCTTGAAAGTGTGGAGCTACTTCCTGGTGAGCGACTTCTTGACTTGGAGTATGCGGACGACATTGCCCACATATGTGACAGCTCCCAAACATGCCAAGCAGCACTGGACCGAGTAGCACTGGCTGTCAATCGTTTTGGGCTATGCTTTGCTCCATCGAAATGCAAAGTTTTTCTCCAAGATTGACAGGGACCAACCCCTGCGCTGACCCTTGGTGGTGATCAGCTAGATGTCGTTCAGGAATTCAAGTACCTGAGCAGCTATATTAGCGCCCGTGGATCGAACGTGAGGTTACGAACCGTACAGCAAAAGCTCGAGGTGCTTTTGCCTATCTCCGCCACCTGTGGCGCAGACGCGACATCACTCTCGCGCTGAAGTGCAGAGTTTATAATGCAGCCGTCCGTTCAACCCTCTCATATGGTTGTGAACCTGGCCCATCAGGTCGACAGACATAAAGAGGCTGGTTACGTTCGATCATCACTGCCTTCGCAGCTTAGCTCATGTCTGGTGGGAGCACCGCGTGAGCAATGAGCGTGTTCGGCGTCGCGTATTTGGTACAGGAGGAGTTAGTGAACCGCTCAGCACCAGTAAGTATATCACGTACCAGGCTTCGATGATTGGGCCACATGTTGCGCATGTCAGCACATCGACTTCCGCGACGTGCATTGTTTGCGCGCCGGGGGTGCGGTTGGAAGAGGAGGAGGGAAGGCCAAGTGATTACTTGGTGGAGAAAAATGAAAACCCTCACTTCGAAGTTGGCGTCGGTTGGTGCATCCCGACTGCCTGACTGGGGTCCTAAGGACGATGAACACGTTTGGTTGGACATACTTGGTGATATGGCTAGGAGGCGACCCCAGTGGCGTTTGTACTGTGAGTTCCTTTGTCCATCCCCTCCCGCTTATCCTTCTCCTCCAATCCCGATCTCATTCGCTAGGCATAATATAACTCTTCTTATGGCTCGATAGCCGACTGCTGGCTCTCCGGAACGGTGCCCATTCGTTAATGGGGATTCAGCCGGCGTGCCTCTTTTTCTTCTTGTCTTTTGTATTGCAGCATAATAGTTGAGGTGTTTTCCACCTGCAGCTGACGTGTATAATGATGATGATCATGTAAACACATGAGGTAAGGCTACTTTGAGTATCCACTTTTTGTTCAATCAAAAAGTTTATCATTTTTAAATCCACATAAATAATCTAGTATCGATTAAGACCTTTCACAATGAGAGCACAGAAATAATAATTGTCATGTTGGCTTGTCTGTTCTCGCCACACCATAGGCACAACAAAATTCAAACTATTTTTTTGCACCAGTTGTCCACTTGCAACGACACTTGACACAGCTTTTGCAAACATTATGAGGAGTCAAGAACTTTTGCTGACATTCGTGTTTTATACCAAGGTAAGCGCAACATGCTTAACTCACAACGGAGTTTTGCTATTGCTTTGTCACAACGTATTCGCCACAAATACAGCAGTAAGAATCGGGGTTGTTCAACAGTTACGTCGAGAGAAACTCATATATATGTGAAATAGACAAGAGGAACCTGAAAAACTACCTATTACATTAGTAATAATTACTATATTATAAAAATTAGAGCCAATTCGTGAAAACAGCTTGCATATTTGAAATCAGCACCACCGAAATACCATAGATTCGTTAAAAGATCCTCGGCAACAGGTGCTCTTAGTTGATTTGTGCTACAGAAGACTGTTGGTGCTAGTTGACCGAAATGTACATGTGGAATAAACGCATCGACTACGGGAAAGAAAATCGGCCTGACTTTAGTTAACAGAGACAGAGAGATAGGTTGACTCAGTTTGCTTCAGGAAAACCAATGGGTGTCAAAGAATGCAGAGAAGTTGTGAACCCAACATGCAAAAGTGGTTCAACAAGTAATGATGACACAGCTGGTCGATGCACATGTCGAATATGCCGGAGAGTGTAACAACAAATCCTCGGTTCCAAACATATTCCACTGCCCTCAGGCACCGTTTTGTTAACAGATGTGCTGTGTCGACCAGTGTTAAGTGTCAGTTGGAAAATGTCCACACCTGGATTTGCCTTTCATTAGTCTCCGCTAACAAACCACCAACGCTTTTGCACTGACGATGTCATCAGGGCTGCTGACGACACGTTTGCAATCATAGCGCCAAGCTCGGCTAACACATTAACGACTGAAAAACCAATCCAGGATGTCAATACTTAATCTGATTTCGAACTACAGATGCGCCGGTGAGCGAAACGAAAAGTATCAGAGAAAAACACATAGGGTTCAATCAATCCATTTAAGATTATCGACAAAATGACTCACCTGCAACTAATGTTAATTCATCATCCTCTTGACCAGTATAGTCGTACAAAGCCCGAACCAGTACGCCAGGACGACCGTCATCATAGGTGGCCAGAGCGTAGTAATCTGCGTCACTCATCTCGTCTGGACCAGGACCTTCGGGAGACAACAGGTTGGCGGCAGGAGAGTCAGTGGCAGCAATCACAGCTTCGGGTTGGAAAGTGCTGGCGTCAGAAGCCGGAGTCAGGTCATCGAAAGGAGTGTGTATACTGCTGCGAGAGGTGCGAAAGAAATGGAGGATTAACAAAAGCAGGGAACGCATACTACATGATATGTATTATCCACTGGAGGCAATCTGATGGAGACGCTGACACATAAACAAAAAGCTGTGGATTAGTGCGAGTGTGCTAACTCCGGTTAGCAGCAACGGGAATATCCAGTTTCAAACAAGGGCGCAAAATGGCAAAACAACAAGTTAATCACCAAGTAAAGCGAGACAGAAAGTCGCAACGCCTGTGTTAACATGGGTGGTAGCTTGAAATCAACAATGACAAAGTCAAGACAATCCATTCTTGCTCAGCGACTTACTGTGATGAGAAATCCAAAAGGAGAAAAAAGCAAGCAAGTATCCTGCTCGGGCGTTTCACGCAGCATTAAGAGCTGAGTAGCAATGCACGCATAAAGAACGGAGTAAAACAAATTTTCGATAAAGGGAACGTGCTTGACATAATCGATTGCACCACTCCGATGAGGATACTTACACCGAGAAGCGGTCCAACGAAGCATGGAAGTATTTCAGGTGCCCCTAAGTTCGGTCGCGTCATTGTCTGCGGCGAGTCCCTTTCAGATAGGTGGAGCTCACCGAAACTGCCACACTTCCTCATTTTTATTCAATTTTGGTGTGGGCCCCATCGTGCAGTGTGTCAGCTGAACGCCGTAACGGCGCATCGCTGCAGTGCGACCACCATCAGTCACACGCGGGCTGAGTCTACCGCGAGGACGTCCATCAATAGGAAGATTCGAACCCGCGCCGCAAGCTCGTGACCTCTAGTCTACGGGCCTATCATGATGCAGACAAGGAAGTCATCCCACCGGAACAAAGTTGGCATACCTGGGTTAGGCGGATAATATCGACAAGAGGAGAGTTGCAGGGAACCAATCTTCCCACGAGTTCAGCAGCTAGGTGTGCGATACAATGCTTCATTAAGGTGAAAGAAGGGGCAGTGACTTTATTTAGTGACGAATCACATCCGTCACCTCGCAGCGTTGTTAAACGGACACAGGTGGCTTTTTATAGGGAGAACGCTTGTCAAGCGAAAACCCATCACGTCCTGGAACACCGCCACCAAACCATTCGCTGGACCGAGATAATCCCCGACCACCAAGCTGGCACCACGAGGAGGTTATTCGGCAGGCCATTAATATTCCTCGACTGTCTAGTCCACAGGAATGGAAGGAATCTGAAAACAATACTTCCTAAACAAACATGCACGCTCTGCTTTGATGTAAAAGCCTCGGCTAGCCGACTACAACAATACATATTTGTGTGGCACACATATAGTCAACTGCGAGGAGGATCTCCATCATGGTGTTCCCTTGCGGAATCATACGATTCAGGCGTTGACGTGCTGTCTGGTGACAAGCTAGTTGATCTTGATTATGCGGACGATATTGTCATGCTTTTTAACGATGTTGGAGCGGCCCAATCAACCTTAAATGATCTCTCTAGAGTGGTTTCATCATTCGGCATGCGCTTCGCACCTTCAAAGTGCAAAGTGTCGCTGCAGCACCACCAGCCACTTGACGACCCATTGACTCTCGATGGCGAGGAACTCCAGGTAGTTGATCAATTCACTAACTCTGGCAGCTGATCAGCAACAATGGGCGCATAACCACTGAAATCAGTTCACGTATTGCAAAAGATAGAACTGAATTCTTATATCTGCAACATCTTGCGCCGGAAAGCAGATTCCCTTGGTCTGAAAGGCCGTGTCTACAAGGATCCATTAAGGGCCGTCCTACTGTGTGGGAGTGAAACTTTGCCCCTTCGATCTGAGCAGTTGAGGCGCCTTCAGGTCTGCGGAGCATTGCTAACCTCGGGTGGCACCACCGTGTCCGCAACCATTTTGTGCGTAGGCGAGTGTTAGGCGGTGATCATCAAGCTAGTCCCAATGAACAACAAATAGCATTGAATAACTTGCGTTGACTTGGACAGGTACTAAATATGCTCCGTCCCCGCTTACTGAGAACGGCCTTGGTTTGTTTGCCAGATGTAAGGTGGCGCAAGGTTCGTAGTGGACAAAAGTTGACTGCCAAGTCATTGACTAGGAAATTCAATGCCGTCGGTCCGTCTCGCCTTCCCGGCTGGAGTCCACGTGAACAGCCTTGTGCTTGGCTCGAGACGTTACAGAACATGGCTCGCAGTCGACACCAGTGGCGCATCTCGCGTTGTCTCTTAGGCAGTCAGCCTGTTAAGTGTCTTTACTACTGAGTTATCTGCGGGGTAATGACTGATTGTGACCCGGGGCAGTGAAAGCAGGAACAAAGCTGTTTTGCTGATGTCACCACATCTTTGCATGATAACCAGGTATTTGTGACGGCACGTTGTTGACAAGCTGTAGGCGCATTGACCCTGAATGCTTGCTGAGGACACAAAGGTTTAATGCTAGGTCCCCCTTCGCTCCCACTTATTAATCTTCTTTCCGTAGTTCACTGTGACTGTATAGCAGAGAAGCATTAGTCCAGATAGTTTATGTACTGTTGTTGTTAATTATGATTCTGCGCCGAGACGAAGAAAATTTGGTGGAAGAGGAGTGCTGTCAGGAAAACGTCAGTTTTCCAAGGATTCCCCTGGAATCAACAAAAGGGTGGATTCATCATTATACGTTAGTTTGGTTTTAAAACGGCGTGCGAGAAATTGTTCCTACTTCAGACCCAGACCGTGATTTACCAATCGCTCAAGGCCGTTAGTAGACCAATTAATAACCACGTGTTCCATTGATGAATGCCTGATTTGTCATCAGAATAGATCTCGTTCGGAGTTGGGGCTCTCGATTAGAAGGTGAATCTGGGTTCCGTCTGTGAGATGTGTGCCTATTCCGGTTTCGACCGTGCTTGCGTGTGTTTGTACTGAATTGATAATGCCCGTTGGACTGTAACAGGTGCACTCCGTGGATAGGCGAATTTCGGCTTAGTGCATGAACACTTGTAAGATGACTGCGTTCCATGAATCGGGATGATGGGACTCATACGGAAGCCAGTTCACGTGGGAGACCAGCAGAGAGCAGCAGGGCGGTTAGGTGGTGCGTACTAAAGTGAGCATGTCAGAATCGCTAGGATAGGCCCACGGCGTACTACAGGCCTCCATATCCTCACTCATCCTCGCTTATGGTGCCAAAATCCCCCTCAGCCTACCGATGCAAGTACGAATTAACAAATACATGAAACTTACCGTGGTATTATAGACAATAGCAGCAGCCATGGAAAGGCAGTGAGCAACAGACGCGCAATATACTATTGTGCACGGTGTAGTGTATGCATTAAACAAGACAAATTAGAGAATGTTACCTATCGATTGCAAGCCAATAAACGAGGGCACAAATTATTCCCTGTGGATCAGTGAAAGAACCGACCAGGGCGATCGATGTATCGCTATCCGAGCGATAATCTTAGCCACGCTCTGCCGACAATCACGTGAAGCAGCCGGTGTGCATTGGGTGACGATTGAAGAAAGGGTGAATGCGACAGCTTGGGACAGGGTGGATGGTCGTGTAAAGGGAGGGGCAATCACAGTAGAGGAAATAAGGGAAAGAGACGAATGACATAAATGTCAATGACGGGGGCGCAGATTGAAAGTATTGTGTAAAGCGTTCAAGTTGAAAGTGATGTCTGTCTGCAAAGTAACATCAAGGAGATAGTTTTGCCGCAGTCCGTCGATATAGTGTATATAGTCATTCGCGCAAGGGATACCGACAAAAAGTAAGACAACAGGTACACGGGCACTTCGGAGAAAGGTCATGTGTGCGTGAGAACAAGAGACGAATTGGAACATAAAGGAAAAGAACAAGTTGCACACATAAAGTGAACAGTCGGCAATGTGACGAAACTTGGCTGACCAAACAAAATAACGTATGCGCGCAAGAATATGAGAGGAAAAAACGGATTAGTCGTCCAAGTTGCGGTGAACGCTCAGTAGGGTAACGGTAGATGGCTTCCAGTATTGCTCATGTGCTGTTAGTTGCAGACGAAGGAATGAACCGCTAGCAGTACGCCGTAACGGTGCTTCGCTGCCACGTCACCACTACCAGTCGCGCGTGGGCTGAGTATACCGCGAGGAAGATAGCACCACACACGTGGAGTTGTGTTAAGGGATACCTGCACTTTTAAGGGATCATTGCCGCAAACGGCGTAGAAAGCTACGTGACATGAACGATACTTCACACAGACTGCCGAGCAGAATAAAGAAACTGATGGAGGTGCGCACGTGATGTAGAAATAGCACATAGTCGCGTTTTAGTTCAGTGTATGTGCAGTCGCAAGAACGACCGCGCCGCATTTGTTCTTCCTTCTTCCTATCCGGCACCACCCCAGGACTCTATCATTTTGGCATGTGGTGGTGCATTGGAACAGCGCTGGAAAAATATGGATCATCATCATCATCACATCAGTTGAAGGAGAAAAACAGAGTTCAGCTAACCGTGCCGCAATACAAAAGAAAAAAATAGATGAGAAAGGGAGATAGGAAACAATGCAGATTACAAAATCTAAGGAGCAGTTAATAGAATGCTAAGTGTCATATTATTCATCCGGTGTGAGATAGTTGTTGGAAAGGGAAGCTAAGCGGAAGGGGAGGAAAGGGGAAAGAAACTGACAACACAAACGCTACTGAGGTCGGCTCCTCGCCATGTCAATTGTGTATCCAACCAGACGTGTTCATGGTTTTTCGGAAACCAGCCCAGCAGTCGGAACCAATCGAGGCCAAATTTGAAGTGATGAGTTTCATTCCACTTGACCAAGTCATCAGTTGGCATCCTGTCCTCTTATCCAATCCAGACCCAGGTCGAACAAACAAGGTACTTCGCGGGAGTCGGTGTGCTGGTCTGCGCAACATGTTGCCTAGCCATCGGAGCCTGGTGATGAGCGGTTCACTCAGTCTTGCTGCACCAATTACACGACGCCGGACACGCCGATTACCCACGCGGTGTTCACAGCAGACAGGAGCTAAACTGCGAAGACAGCGATGGTCGGACGTAATAAGCCTCTTTATGTCTGT